TTATCTTGATTTTAAAACTTGGACATTATTTTTTATCATTCAAACATTTGTCAAAAAGCGGAACAATTTAGGCAAGGACTTATTTGTACAAATAATTCATTGATTTACGATTAGGGTGGGACAACAGGATATAAAACTGATCGTTTCTGTAAAATATATCTTTCCTCCTACGTCTAGTTTTCCTATTATCACTGAACTTACTAATCTCAAAGAGATACAGTACCAACCATGAAATCTTAGCCAACCAATAGATTCTAATTTACTACCAATTCTACTTTACAACCACCACTTGGCCGGTCCCAATGTGTACGTCACTCGGAGGTTTACACATTCCATCTGTTCAGTCACTTCTATAATAATTTATTAAAGTAATTATGTATTTTAAGGATATGTTTGTAGGCCTATATGCACTTAAAAGCGGAATTAATTTTGAAAAATAAACAACGAAATGTGTTAAAGTTCATACATAAATAATATAGGAGACACTATTACCTTTTTCACAAACGGCGCCACGTTTAAGTAATTCACAATACACTCCAAACCACTTGCCCGTATTTGTTTTTCTCGCACAGTTTCTATTTTCACGAGTCGACGCATCGTCATCGTCATCCCAATCTATGATTTAAAAATATATATAATATAGGCCTATAGACATCAAAACAATCTCATTTTTTTACGTAGCACGTATAAGAACTATTATTATTCGTAGGCCTGTCCTAGAAATAAATTTCTTAAAAGCCAATAACTATGACAATATAAGATACCAAAATGCAGTACTGTTACGCTTATCAAGTCTTGAGTTACAAGACGAACGTTCGTTTCCTAATATTCTTTTTGTGTTCTACTGTTTATTTCAGCCTTTCGTATCATTCTATTGAGAGTTATAAAATGCATTATAGGTACGTACATCTGAAGTCTAAATTATATGGTTTCATTGTCCATTCCCATACTCCTTCCGTTTTCTGTTTGTTTAAGCCAATCCACACACCGCCAGGAAATAAAGAGTGAACGAACTGGTTTTCCTCTAAAGATGATATCCTTGTCAATGATGCTCCGATGGATTCGCAGTATTGTAGACTATTCATCCAAGAGTCGAACACTATGCTTACTGTATAAGAACTCCCTTCAAAGTGATGCCATTCAACTGACGTCACGCCTATATATATATAATATAAATCAAGATAGCCGTTAACACTGTTAAATTATATATAATAAATCATCAAAGAAAGGTAAATACAGTGTTTAATAAAGGACAATAATACATCGCGTAGCACAGCTCTCAACGAATGCAGTCCTGCAAATAAATGAATAAAGAAATTGTGTAATAAAACGTCTCTGGCGGGACTCGAACCTGCGACCTCTCGCTGTCAAGGCGAGCGTCATAACCATTAGACCACGGAGGCTTCATGGTTGAACATATTCAAATACCACCAGATACACTCCATTACACAATAGGTACGGCTAGAAACAATATAGGTACATATAATATAAATCAAGATAGCCGTTAACACTGTTAAATTATATATAATAAATCATAAATCATACCTTTCTTTGATGATTTATTATATATATAATTTAACAGTGTTAACTGTTAAATTTATTTGCAGGACTGCATTCGTTGAGAGCTGTGCT